CGCAGCACAAAAGGCACTAAAATATGATAATTGCTAAAATAAATACATCTGTAGTATTTATAGCAGAATTTTTAATATGGGAATATAAAATGTAAGTACAGGACAGAAGTGATAATGAACATAAAATATAAGTGTTAGGGCATATTACAAATACTGGGCAGAATTGCTGAAATGGACCATTAAATTTAAGTACTCATGTACCTACAGAAAAAGTGGTAAAATCCAGCCTATTCCTGTTAGATAAGGTATCTTTGAAGGCAAATTCTCTAAATAAGTTATAATGATTTAAAAAGCTAAGTACAGTAGAACATGGTTATAGTGAATCATCAGGGACAGCTTCAATATATTTCCCATAATTTATCCTAGGAACTTTTAAGCTCACCTGAGTCAAAGGCTCAAGTAATTTTTCTGATCAATGTTTGTCATCTATTTGCCTTGAATTTGTCCTCTAACCTAAGAATCTTCAGAGGTACATCAAAGTCTCTGTCATTTTTACATTTGTCTGTCTCACTGTTTTGGTCAAGTAATTGTACATGGGGCAAGAATGGGGTCACAATGTTTTACGTGGAAATTTGTAGGGAAAATTTTTAAAATCATTTTCTCAGAGCAGGAAAGCAGAGTTAAAATAAATCAGGTGAGCACTGTAGCCCATGGGCTACTTATTAAAATTTTGTATGGGGTTTAGTTGTGAGCATGATATGTAACCACCCTTGTTCTCTATAAACATGTTTGATTTGTATCTACAGCTCTTAGATACCAAAATTATAAAGTGAAATGTTAGGTATATTTAAAGACTGTCACATCTCATTATCTCTTTGAAGGGACAGAGAAAACATTTTGAGATATCTGAGATTTCAGATATTAAGATTAAAATATAAAGAGAACTAGAAATATGGCCATAGGACATGAATGCCCCACCGAGGGTATATTAGTAATGCAACATGAAAATTTTTATTAGTAATTTAGTGTATGAAATTTGATGAGAATATCTTGAATAGTTTCTTTAAAATTGAAATTGAAATCTAAAAAGTTGGATATAGATGATAAATTCTCACCAAATTATGCATAAGTGCATAAGCTTACTTAAATATATCTTAAACGGTTTCTTTAAAATCAATCAAAATGCAAATTTAAAAACAGTAAGCTCAAGGTCACAGGAAAGTTCAAGGTCAAATGTTTTTGATGCATTTGAATAGTTCTCACAAATACATATCAGTATATTAAGTTTGATAAAAATATTTTGAATGTTTAATTTAAAACTGAGCTAAACACTAATTTAAAATAAATGAAGTTAAGGTCAAAGGAAAGGTCAAGGTCAAAAAATGTTGATGCAGTTGAAAAGGTTACATCAGTATGTATTAGCATATGAAATTTGATAAAAATATTATGAATGGTTTCATTAAAACTAAATTAAACACAAATCGAGAAAAGTGAGGTCAAGGTCAAAGGGAAGGTCATGGTCAAAAATATTGATGCAGTTGAATAGCTTACATCAGTATGTATCAGCATTTGAAGTTTGACACTAATTTAAGAAAAGTGAGGTCGAAGGTCAAAGGAAAGGTCAAGGTAAAAAAAAATTGATGCAGTTGAATAGCTCTCATCAGTATGTTTTAGCATATGAAGTTTGATAACACTATTTTGAATGGTTTCTTTAAAAGTGAGCTAAACACTTATTTAAGAAAAGTGAGGTCAAGGTCAAAGGAAAGGTCAGGTAAAAAATTATTGATGCAGTGGAATAGCTCTCATCAGTATGTATCAGCATATGTAGTTTGATGAAAATATCTTGAATGATTTCATTAAAACTGAGCTAAACACTAATTTAAGAAAAGTGAGGTCAAGGTCAAAGGAAAGGTCAAGGTAAAAAAAAAAATGTTGATGCAGTTGAATAGCTTACATCATTATGAATCAACACATGAAGTTTGATTACACTATCTTGAATGGTATCTTTAAAACTGAGCTAAACACCAAGTCAAAAAAAGTGAGGTCAAAGGAAAGGTCAAGGTCAAAAAATGTTAATGCAGTTGCATAGCTCTCATCAATATCTATTCAGCATATGAAGTTTGATAAAAATATCTTGTTTTGTTTCTTTGAAACTGAGCTTTGAACAGAGCTAAACGCAAAGCGTGATGGAAAGACAGACAGAAGGATGGAAGACGGACATGACAAACACTATATGCCCGGCCATATTCATGGTGGGGCATAAAAAGTAGTAGGGACTTCCACTTCACTCAGGCATATTGTTACGAGTTATCAATGTCAGAGATATCTATAAGTTCAGTTATACACTTTAGAATAGGTCTGCAGATGTTCATTAAAATTTATTCAATGGTAGTATTTAAACAGTAATGTCTGACATCAAAAATGACATTTCTGGAATATATTTAATTATTTATTGATGAAAAAGTTGGATACATTTGTATGTATGTGACACATTTTTCGGATACCTACAACAGGAAAATGTGATTGTTTTTCTCTTAACTAGTTAGCCTTTTTCAGAAGCTCCTAACTGCATATTTGTTTTGGTTGTCTAAACATACAATTTATACTAGTATATAAAACTCTTAATACATTTGAATCTTGCAACATTCCACAACCATATCTTCAATAGAAACTATGCATTCATAAAGTAAAAGGTCAGAAAATAAGATGAATTTATTAATAAGATTTTTTTCTTTGCAGACAACTGGGCATTTATGTGAACTTCCACAGGGCGTGTATTGCATTGATAATGATGGCCATGGCAACAGCCCCCTGGTGGCCATAGGAAGTAGCAACAATATTTATCTGGTGCGCAGTGAAAAGAAAATCAGCTAAGAATGGGTCTATGATTTATTTATCCAACATGTTATGACATTCAGGTGATATTTGAGCTTAAGCTCTCTGATTTTGAAATGATATTGAGCATTTTATTATTGTGATACACCATGTAAACCTTTAAAAATACAATTTTATACTGTTTTGGTTATGTACATAATTCTTTTTCTTTATACCATTAAAATTTATTTGTATATCAGAGTTAAGTTTTATATTGTTTGTATGAGAAGAATTGATAAACTTGAGCTTGGCCAATGGTCATTCAAGTTAGTTGTATATATTTAATTCAGCACTGAATTCTTGTCGTCGGTCCTATAACAGCATATGGCTTATAGCCATGCCAACAAATTGAATATCATAGATAATTTAATGAAATGCGTAATGATAATTTGTCACCACAGAGAGGTGCTGTTATAGGCCTGACAACATCCAAAAATAAGAATTTAATGCTTTCAGAACTTGTGTGCTTGAGATGTAAGAACTGTTGTGATGTGGAAAGTTAAATAATGCAAATGAATATTGCGAGGGAAAAAATGACAAATTAATTTTAAACGTATAATTGCTATATTTTTACAGTAAGTTAATAGGGTATTTGTTTTTAATTAATTGAGCCAAAACTATATACATCTGTATACATTTTTGTGTTCCAAGAGTATTCATGCAGTGGCAAGGTTTTTGTGTGTTATATAGGGTATAGTTAAAAGTTGTACAAAAGGTATACATGTAGTATATATGTAGTTTACAATAAGTAGACGATACTTCTGTATCAAACAAAACAGTGTACAATAGGTAGGGGATACTTCTGTATCAAACAAAACAGTGTACAATAGGTAGGGGATACTTCTGTTTCAAACAAAACAGTGTACAATAGGTAGGGGATACTTCTGTTTCAAACAAAACAGTGTACAATAGGTAGGGGATACTTCTGTATCAAACAAAACAGTGTGCAATAGGTAGGGGATACTTCTGTATCAAACAAAACAGTGTACAATAGGTAGGGGATACTTCTGTATCAAACAAAACAGTGTGCAATAGGTAGGGGATACTTCTGTATCAATCAAAACAGTGTACAATAGGTAGACGATACTTCTGTATCAAACAAAACAGTGTACAATAGGTAGGGGATACTTCTGTATCAAACAAAACAGTGTACAATAGGTAGAGGATACTTCTGTATCAATCAAGGCAGTGTACAGTAAGTAGAGAATAATTCTGTATCAAACAAAACAAGTAGAGGATACTTCTGTGTCAAACAAAACAGTGTTCTATTGAGGATACTTTTGTATCAAACAAATCAGTGTACAATAGGAAGGGGATAATTCTATATCAATCAAGGCAGTGTACAGTAAGTAGAGAATAATTCTGTATCAAACAAAACAAGTAGAGGATACTTCTGTGTCAAACAAAACAGTGTTCTATTGAGGATACTTTTGTATCAAACAAATCAGTGTACAATAGGAAGGGGATAATTCTATATCAATCAAGGCAGTGTACAGTAAGTAGAGAATAATTCTGTATCAAACAAAACAAGTAGAGGATACTTCTGTGTCAAACAAAACAGTGTTCTATTGAGGATACTTTTGTATCAAACAAATCAGTGTACAATAGGAAGGGGATATTTCTTCATCAAACAAAACAGTGTACAATAGGTAGAGGATACTTCTGTATCAAACAAAACAGTGTGCAATAGGTAGGGATTACTTCTGTATCAAATAAAAAGGTTTACAATAGGTAGGGGATACTTTATAATGGTAGAATAAATCTCAAGGGGGATAACTGCACCCTATTTCTTTAACATGAAAATTTCCTTGTTCATTAGGTACACTGTCCACCTCACCCGGAGGGCTCATGATTTGAACAAACTTAAATATACACTATGTAATGAAGCTTTCATCTCTCCTGACCAAGTGGTTCTTGAGAAGAGAATTTATGAAGATGCCATTAAATTTTCAAAACCTTTTACTTATCTCCCCTTGAAAGAGGGCCTGACACTTCATTTGAAGAAACTTTAATCACCTTTAAACAAGGATGCTTTGTGGCAAGTTTTCTTAAAACTGGACCAGTGGTTCTTGAGAAGTCTAAGACAGACGGACATACGGATGCCAGACAAAGTGTGATCATAAAGGCTCTCCTGAGCTTTTAGCTCAGGTGAGCTAAAATGATTGGAATATTCAAGTTCAATCAAATTAAATATAGGCACCAGTATCTGGCTGGTGTAACGATACACCGTTCACCTTTATTTTTTCACCCTTATCTAAATTTATCTGTGCATAACCATCAGGTGTTAGTGGTTTGAAATTTGATTGTTTTTGATGAGAAACACTTCTTAACTTATGAATTTCTTTATAAGTCTCTCCCTCAATTCTTCTTGAAGTAGATTCCACATCATTTGGTTTGTATGTTCCCATTTTCCTCCTTAAATACAGAAAGATTTTTAAAGCTTCATCTCTTAAAATTCTGACAATAAATGTTTATATTTTGTTTGACATTAAAATACAAAAAAGAATTACTAACTTTCTATAGCATATAAAACCAAGAATTGCGATGAGTATAAGTACTACTACTGGTACCAAGACCCCAGCCACTATGTGGGTATCCACTTGTGAACTTTCCTCTGGAAGGAACTTGGTGGTGACTCTTCCACTGGAGACTGCTCTTGGGTTTTTAAGAGTAGTTGGTCTAGAAATTGTTGATTTGCTGGTCCTATAAGTAGCATCATTTTGTAGTGAGGGATGGCTATGACTCTTGACGGTGGTTGATGTGGAGGTGTCTATTTCTGGTGTTTTGGGTGCTGCTCTTGTAGACCTTAAGGTTGTGGAATTGAATTTTGTTGTTGTTTTACTGGTTTTCTTGCTATTTGTCATTTTTGTAGGTTTTAATGTTGGGAAGACATCATCATCAACATCACCAGAATTCATTCCAGATTCTGAATTCATTCCAGATTCTCCAGAAGTATTTTCTTCTACTGTTTGATAGATGGAAACTCTTTGTACAATACTTTTTTCTGTGGTCTCAGCGAAGTTTCCTGAGGAATCAATATTCATTGTTGACCAAATACTACTTTCTATTAATTCCTCTGCTTCTGGCTCCCAAGAAGCAATTGGGGACTTGGTTTCCATTTTAGATACCATGTTTCCCTTTTGCTCTTCAGAGGATTTCTTGATAGACTTGATTGTGATGTACAATGAATCTACATCACTTTTTAACAAAGTTGTTGTAGATTCAGTGACTGTTTCATCAAGCATCCTTGTGGAATTTTCTTTTGCCTCAGTCCAACCAGTGACCCTTGAAGATTCAGTGGGTAAATCAGGCATATTTTCAGAAGAGAATTCAGGCTTTTCATTTAAGGATATAGTTCTAGGCTGCAATTCTTTTAATTTGTTTATGAATTCAGTGGTAATTTCGTTGACTGAATATGTTGTCTTGTTGATTAGAGTCACTGTTGATTCCATGGAATCTAGCTGAAAGTCTGCATTAGTAGTTTCAGATAAATTTTCAGAGAAAGCTGATGTTAATAATGAGGATTTCTTGAACTCTGGGGAGAATTCTATCGTGGAAACCTCAGTTTGATTATCTAACTGTTTGTTTTCTATAGATTTGTCCATGTTTGACCAAGGTATGGTATCCATTGCAGTTATATCATTGTTAATCAAGTTAGGTGTAGGTTCAGTGACTGGTATTGTAGGTCCTGAAAATTGTTCTCTTGGTTCAGTCCAGCTAGCTCCCTCTGAAGAGAGTGTGAGTGTTGATTCATCAGACGATTTAGACAGACTTGCAGTAGAGGACTCATGTGCTTCATTTAAATCACCTGTAGACGTGGGTGCAGATGATAGTTTTTTCCAGTTTATTATTGAATCATCACTTGTGCTGTTCACCGTAGACATGTCATAAGATTCTGTGAAATCTTTCTCCACACCTGAGGAATGCGGCACTACCAACGATTCTGTTATTTCTGAGTCAGAGAAATTCATCGCAGCAAGTTTAACTGGTGATCAAATGCGCACAAAAAGCACCAAATCAAGGGGGTCCTGAAATAGTTCAGAAGTTGTCAAAGTCGTCTGTATTCAATCACTTTGTCTAGTCCAAATGAAATGTAAATGCTGAAAATCTCGTTTTAGTAGTCGTGACTACTTTTTGCTGCTTTGTAATATTTAGCAGGGTTTTCGAGAGTTCAGAAGGGAGTCGTGATAAGATATCCTACCGGGAATGTCCATGTCCGCTTTTCTTGAAAAAAGGAAAGACATATTTTTGTTTTTATTGTTTATTGTGTGATATTATTTACATAAATCGGGAATAAGTAGATAAGAGACAAAGAGGAAAACAAAAAATGTTATTTTAAGTGAAACAATTAGGCGTTGTAAAGATTTTTCGGGTGTTTAAAATGGCCTCTTCGCTTTGAGCAGGAAACATACTCTATGGTTTTTGTTGGAAAGAGGATATGCACATAAGTGTATATCCAAGTGTTTGTATTTGACCTTGAAGTATTACAATGTACTATCTCTTTCAATATCTGTTTATACCAAACCCAAGTAATAATAATTTTGAATTAATATCACATTTCTGAGTCTTTATCTTTAATTTTTTTTTATATAAAAATTTATTTGGTCTTAATTTACCATTGTGATAAAAAGTAAAACCCCTGTCGAAAAGATGTGAATGGATTCGGTCTTGTATGGTTTTTCATATTCTGGATTTTATTTTTACTTTATATTTCATCCTAATCGAATAACCCAGCTTTCAACACTCCTTTGGAAACAAGGAAATCTTTCGACAGGATTTTCTCTTTATCTTAAATTTGTTCGCTATTTTCTGTTACGTATTTCCTGGCGGCGAGGGAAAAGAGCTGACTTCCTTTAAAATTAGAGGAACATTTTGCGTAGGTTATTGCTTCTGAAAGTTAATAACTACCATATAATTTGAAAAATCCTTTGAAACACAAGAAAACTGATTATTAAGGATTTGTGTCTAAGATTGGTGCTCTGATCTTTCATAGGGAATGAAAGTCTCAATTATAATTTATACTCGGAACTTTGATAAAATATACATTCCTCGCCCTCCTTGGGATAACATCAAGGAGAACCCTCTTTTATCATTGGGTGGACGTGTAACCAGATGGCTTGCACGCCACAAATGCTCCACTTAGAAAAAAAAAAACAGATTTCATTACCAATGAAGACACTTTTAATTTCGTGAGAAATACATAGAGGATATTCAATGTTTTGAAGTTGGATATGGAATTTATTTCACAAGTGAGACAGGATTAAAGAAAAAATAAAAAAAATTACGAATGCAAAAAATCCTGTCTCACGATAATTTTGTATTTACTACCGCGCAGTACCCCCCCCCCCCCAATACTCTTTCCTTTAGCATTAGGATGGTACCTACACTTGTAGTTATCAGGGTAAGTATATAGATATCAGGTAAGTCTACTGTGTCTCAGCCATGTCTTAGAGCTCAATGACTTCGTTATGTTGTACATCTTTGAATTTACCGGTTGGTAGTAAATACAAAACTACAATAAATGCCAAATTTACAATATGACAACTCGATAAAATTTAAAGATAGAACACGGGGATACTTGGACATTTGTTTGGAAGCATTAGAATAATTTTCTGGGTAATTAAAAAGCTACAAAAATACCCGTCTTGACCGTTTACCTAAATTTTCTGACCAGAATCTCCGGAAGAAGTATACATGTACCCTTTTTTTTCCATCACAATTTAAACCAAAATCAATCGTCGACAGTTCTGAATACAATTTTAAAGCAAAACAACGATCAAGGACGAGAGAGAGAGGGAATTCAAAATCATTACAAAATTGAACATTTCTGGGCATATTTTCATAATTAAGTGGTTAATCACCTTATTTTTTTTCTTTAGAAAATAATATTACCCTAGTACTTAAATTGCTAAAAAAAAATAAAATAAATAAATAAATAGAGTACTTAACTTGATTTCATTCTTTCTACAAGTTCTAGAATATGTATATCCCCAAATTTGTTAATCAAATTATGTCATTGAAACATATTTCTTCAGAAATTAAAATAATTAAGTTACTTTACTGACTATGAACGATAAGAACCAAATTACAACTAAATATTGTATGACAAACGAGATTATCATGCAGCTTTTCCATCGTCAACTTTCCTTATTTATGAAGCAATATTCCACTATCACTTGCATATGGTGTTTATGTCTCCCAACATAACATATTGTATTCCAAGAGCATACACTGAGTACGATTTTGCAATTTTAACTGAAGCAGGCTACTGACAAATAAATTGAAAAAGGGATTTCAACAACAACGTTTAAAGTCAGCATTTCATAAATTCTATGGTCGTTAAAATGACCTTGTTAGCAAATACAGCCTTTTTTGGGTCATATTTTGACTGGCATATTTCACCCCAATTCTTTTGACTTCTTGTTTTAAAATTAAATTAACTACGGATTGTTCCATCTACCTGATCAATTCATAGGGCTCATGGCGGGTGTGACCGGTCGACAAGGGATGTTAACTCCTCCTAGGCACCTGATCCCACCTCTGGAGTTTTTAGGGGTCCGTGTTTTATGTCCTGTACAGATTTGTATTGTTTGTAGTTTTTTTTTATTCAGATTGATTATTGTTCGTTATCTTCGCCTATTTCATCACTTCATTTGTTTGCTTTTGTAAAACAATATTAATAGACGTCTTTATTTTTAAGGAAAAACATGTAATGAAAATCGAATATTTTGTGTTTACTGTATGTACACTACATGTTTATGCTACAATGTATGCACTTTGCTTTGTTTCTTACATAGTATATTGTAAGGTAGAATGACAAGAATTTTGATTGGTCAATTCCTGCCTATCCTGACATAAAACATCATGAATGCAAAAATATCCAATATTTATCTAATATACACATACACTGTATACACATACTTTTTTCCGCGGGCTCATAATTCCGCGGAATCACAAATTTTATTCAACCAACGAGTAGAAAATTACGCCGATTTCTTGGATTGTCATCGTATAGTACACCAAGGTACACTGTATATGTAAAAGTTTTTTGTTTTTAGAAAGTTACTAAGTCATAGTGTCAGTTTATTGACAGTCTGTGAGCTTTGTAGCGTAGTCTTACTCAAAACAAATCTTTCATTCAAATGATAGGACTGAAAAAGTAGATAAAAGGTCAAGTTCAATGATAACCTTGAAATATTGAAAAAGAGGGTCTCATAACAAACATTGCAAATGAAAATATAATCGTCTTATCCGTCATGGTTGAAAATGTATATTGCCATTATGAATTAAATTTCGAAAGATATTACCTGTAGCAAAGACCAAAGTTAAGAAGCCATTAATCTACAAAAATGTTTTGGAAAAGCCCAGTAATTGCTAATTAAAAGAATTGCTCATTGTTTTCGTAAAATTATTTTGCATTATGTGTACTTAAAACTTATGAAAAAATTTCATTCTGCACAACTTTCACCCAACAGAACAGGAAACCTTATGTTCAAATGAAAAAAAAATCGGAGGCAATTATCCTACTTGACATAAATTCTAAATTCATTAAAAACTTCCTTGTTTGTCAAAAAAAGTAAAATATCGTCATTATTTCTTAATTTAAAAAGGAATTTGCAGAATTTGACCTAAATTTCACCAGAATATGTGATAGCACCGTACAATGCATCAACATCGTTCGCGAGGCGCTCTGGTTAGAGCTTCTGCTCTAGAGTCGTGGAGTAAGGAGTTGATTCTTAAGTCGAGGGTTCGAATCACACAGTAGAAAGTAGAGACCGGTCCTTCGGATGAGACTGTGTAAACCGAGGTCCCGGGTCGCAGTAGGTGCTGGCACAAAAAAGATCTGCATATTAGAATTGAAAATCATGGGTCTTAAAAACCGAGGTCTTGTGTCATGATAAGTGTTTGCACAATAGAGATCCCTCACTGCTCAATTGCCCTGAGTGCCGAGTATAGGTCTAAATTTGAAGCCCTTCACTTAATTTTCCTGTCCAGATAGAGAAACTTAAAATACATTCTATATAAAAAAGAAATTTTAAGTTTAAATATGTCTTTTTCTGATATTGCGGTTCCTTAGAAAGATTTCCTATTAATACACCTTATTTTCATCTATGACTTTACTAGTTTACTTGAAAAGTGTACATGTAATTACATTTTATTTGGAGTCATATTTGATTTTCCACTACAAGAAGATGGTTTTTGGTAAGGAGGATATAAAATAAAGTTTTTGGAAAGAAGACAAAAATTTAAAGAGAGAGAGAGAGAGGAGAAAAATCTCATTAGACTCTTCAGCTGAGCTGAAATAATAAAAAATTATGACAAGGCAAGGCAAAATTCATCTAATCCCAGTGGTATGGTAAAGCCTGGAAGTGCAAAATCTGTTTCAACTGAAGGTCAGTGCGAAAACTAAATAAATAGTAATTGCATATGTAATTGTATTTTTTAATTTGATAGTATTCCAAAATCCAAAGTCCAAAGTTTTTGTCTAAAATGAATGATGGAATGTGAAAAATCTGCAGTAGAGATTAGTAGAAAGCAGTTCATCTACTTTTAATTGTTTTTAGTATAATCAGACGCATATTAAACATGGGAGCCTACCATTTTTTTAGTATAATCAGACGCATATTAAACATGGGAGCCTACCATTTTTTTAGTATAATCAGACGCATATTAAACATGGGAGCCTACCATTTTTTTAGTATAATCAGACGCATATTAAACATGGGAGCCTATCATTTTTAAAGGTGGAATTTTTGACAGTTTTAAGATACTTTTTTTAAAACATTGTCATTGCAGAGTAGCTGAGAATTTTAATGATTGTATATAAGTAATATTCTAAATCACAAAAGGGTCCAGTCTTGTATTCCACCATATTTCAAGACTACATCTTGTATTTCCTACATATATACATCGACTATTGCTTTCAAACTTTTTAATTACATGTACAAGAAAACTTTACAGAGCCTGGTTA